GTTACTCCCCAACACTGGTGTTGAATATACAGAATATATGGGGAGTACAAACACTGATCTATAGTTGCCACCCCTCATTCTGCTCTTGCCCCCTCTTTGCCACCCCAAGTATAAAATCCTGGACACGCCCTTGAGGGTCAAGTGTTTATGCTAATGTTTTTGCATGATGGCATATCATTCATGTTTGGATACACACACAAAAATAAGTTATTAATGTTTTATGCACTACAGTCTAAAGGCAATCAGGCCAGCACACATCTATTCACTTGAGGACATATGACGCACAGAAGAAAATATGACACTAAAATTTTGATTTTGATACTGATACTGATACTGTATCATGATACTATACCAAAACTTGTGCATGTAAACGTAGACACGTAGATTTTGGCCACGATTTGGACGTCTGAGACAAATTTTGAAAATCCTAAAAGGTTCCTATAATCCTATTCTAAAATCTGTAGTCTTTGATCGTTAGTTTGACATGTTCACCGACAGCCGGTTAATGGCCGTTGCGATCAAATTTTACCTCCGACTAATTTCTGGCAGTGTCAGAAGATTTGGCGCACAGTCCTGTCATCATATGACAGGATATGTCATGTGTCATATCAGAATATGTCCAATTTTCTGTGTATAAGCTATATTTATTTTTGGAGTTGGATTATTTTTTTGCTTTTGTTAATATTGTGAAATCTGGTATTGTTAATTTAGTTACCTTAGTTTTTTGTTGTGATTTTGATTTAAAGTGTATTAGAGATTTGTGTAGGTTGTGATCTGGGACGATTCGTATTAATTGGTGTGTGTGTGTGTGTGTGTGTGTGTGTGTGTGTGTGTGTGTGTGACGGAGTTTCCGACAAGTTTACGGAGATTCTTTGGGTGAAATTCCCAAGGTGGCGTAGTCATGCATTCTTTAATTTTATAGCATTTATTTAAGATTTGGTTTAAATTTATTTAGTGAAATCTAGCTGGGCCATCCCAGGCCCCGGCCACAATCTGGCGTAGTCGGCAGGGTTCTACTCTTTGTCTGGTAGCTTCAGACAAGACTCTGGTATTAGCATTTTGTTTGCTTTTGTTTGGTTTTTTTTTTCTTTCTCTTTTGTTTGTTTTCTGTTGTAGGAACAAGACAGCGGTGTATGTTCAATTGTGTTCCCCTTTAATTTTTCTGTTACAAGTTATTTAACTTGTTTCTTATTATTTGAGGGAAGGATGGAGAATGAATTGCAGGAGTTGCGGGACTTGGTGACTCAATTAAGAGCCGATAATGAAAGGCTGCGACAGGAACAACCGTCGGTAAGTTCCCCTGGTGCTAGTAATGATAGTGCTGCTGCAGCAGTGGCTAGACCTTTATTGGCCAGTACTAGTGCCGCCCAAGTGGATAAGTTTGTTTTTGTGCCTAGGGACTGGAAATGTCCAAAATGTAGTAGAATGTCCAGTATAAGCAGCGTGAAGGGGAGACCCTGTTGGAGTTTTCCCTTTCCTTGATGGGCCTCAAGGAGAAAGTTAAGCAATAGTCGTCTACCGCTATGCCGAACGCTGAAATATTATTGCGTGATCAATTTGTTGAATTTGTTTTGGATCCGGCGTTGCGTCGAGAACTTAAGCAACTTGTGTACATTTTTGGATGTCCGCAGTGAAGCGATTCGGTGGGAGCGGGAAGGTAAGCCAGGGGGTGCGAGGCTTCGAAGTCAGTCACTTCCAGTAACATATGGGCCACAGTTCCAGTAACTGCAGAGCCACAGTTCGGTTGGGGAGTCTAATGGCTCTACGTTGTATCCCGATTCTGCACTTACATTGATTGCGTCATGCCCCCATCTTACCGCCTCTTTCGGTGGAGTTTCGATCCCCTGCTTGATAGACACTGGGTTGATGGTATCTGGGTCGATGGTATCAACAATTACAGAAAGTTGTTTCTGTAAGCATTTTGAACAAGGGGTTAAAACATGTCAGTGGTTACAGCTTCGAGCCGCTAATGGGCTCGAGATACCATATATCGGATACGTAGAGATGGATGTCGAGCTCTGTGGTAAGTTAGTGCCGAAGTGCGGGGTTCTGGTGGTCAAGGATCCTCCTGGCGGGCTCAACACCCAAGTTGCAAGTGTGTTGGGAATGAATATTCTCCGGCGCTGTTACCAGGAGCTCTTTGGCCAACATGGCCCTGCATTATTTAGTCTACCTTCAGTGTCAGAAGCTCCGAGAATGATGGTTCAGGCTCTTCAGTATTGTTGTCAGGTTATTGCTCAGCCTGTTCAGGACCGTGCTGGTAAAGTTCGGGTACACGGTCGTCTGGCATGTCGTATACCCGGTGGCACAATGAAATTTGTGGCTGCAACGTGTTCAAGGCAATTTGCAGACACTACTGTGCTTTTTGAACCTCTTGAGGGTGGTTTGCGTGCTGGGTTGTTTGTAGCTCCCACATTGATTTGTGTGACTAATGGTACTGCTTATGTACCAGTAGTGAATGTAAGCACCTTAGATGTTGTGTTGTACCCACATAACACCTTGGGTTGTATTTTGAACACCGTTCTGGTGGTTAGCTTGCCCACAGAAGTAGTAGAGGTAAAGTCTGCTACAGTCACTGTTAATTCTCAGGCCCCCCCGGTAAGTTCCATGTTGGATCAGATCGATGCCATGGATTTGTCCATGTTGACCGGTAAGAAAGAAGCTCAGGTTAGAGCATTGTTTCGGATATACCAGTCGGTGTTCTCTGCTTATGAAGGGGATCTTGGGTGTACCAACCTCATTGCCCATGAGATCCCTCTTTCTGATGATGTTCCAGTTAGGCAGCGCTATAGGCGAATACCTCCTTCAGAATATGAGGTTGTAAAAGCCCATATAAATCAGCTGTTAGAGGCACAGGTGATAAGGGAAAGTTCTTGTCCTTATGCTTCCCCGATAGTTTTGGTTAAGAAAAAGGATGGTGGTCTGCGCATGTGCGTAGACTACCGTCAGTTATATTCCAAGACACCGAAGGATGCGTTTCCCTTACCGCGCATCGAGGAGTCACTGGACGCATTGACGTGGGCCCGTTGGTTTTCAACCTTAGATTTAGCCAGCGGATATAATCAGGTCCTGGTGGTGGAGGGTGATAGGCCAAAGACCGCCTTCTGTACCCCATTTGGGCTATTTGAGTATAATCGGATGCCATTTGGGCTCTGCAACGCCCCCAGCACATTTCAACGGCTGATGCAAAGGTTGTTTGGTGATCAGCAGAGTCAATCTTTGCTGCTGTACCTCGATGATATCGTGGTGTTTTCCTCATCTGTAGAGCAGCATTTAATGCGGCTGGAGGTTGTATTGAGTAGGCTGGAGCATGAAGAGTTGAAGGCGAGGTTGGAGAAGTGTTTCTTCTTCAGGAAGGAGGTGAGGTATCTAGGGCATGTGATTTCATCGGAGGGGGTGTCAACAGATCCAAGTAAGATCGAGGCGGTGTCTCAGTGGCGTCGTCCAGAAACGCCTAGTGAACTACGTTCGTTTCTGGGTTTTGCAAGCTATTACCGCCGGTTTGTGGAGGGTTTTGCGAAACTGGCAGCACCCCTTCATAGGTTGGTGGCTGAGTTTGCAGATTCAAAATCCAGGAAGCGAGTTTTACCGAGTTTTGCGGCTGCGTGGTCTGAAAAATGCCAACAAAGTTTTGAAGGGTTAAAAGGTAAGCTTACATCCTCGCCAGTCCTTGCCTATGCAGACTTCTCTCTACCTTTCATCCTGGAAGTGGACGCCAGTCATGCTGGACTGGGAGCAGTCCTTTCCCAGGAGCAGGGAGGCAGGGTGCGGCCTATCGCATACGCCAGCCGCAATCTTCGGCCCACTGAGCGTAATATGTCCAATTACAGCTCCATGAAGTTAGAGTTTTTGGCGCTCAAGTGGGCCATGACTAACAAGTTCAGGGAGTACCTTTTAGGGCAGAGGTGTATTGTCTTTACAGACAATAATCCCCTTAGCCATCTGGCTTCTGCCAAACTTGGTGCTCCTGAACAGCATTGGGCCACACAACTGGCCTCCTTTGACTTTGAAATTAGGTATAGGTCTGGGAGAAGTAATCGCAATGTGGACGCTCTTTCAAGACTCGATCCAGCAAGGCATTGTGAGTTGGGCCCAAGGAGTTTTATAGTGAGGTGTTGACCTTGTGGCATCAGGAGCATGGGAATCAGGGAATTGAGCGTACCACTGAATTGGTAAGGCAGCGTTGTTATTGGCCTGGCATGGCTCTGGAGATAGACCAGTGGTGTCGGCACTGCGAGCGATGCCAAGTGGCCAAGGACGCACAACCACCTGCGTCGCGGAACGGTATAGAGAATGTATTAGTGATGACGGATGTCTTTACTAAATACAGTATGACTGTCCCTACTCGGGACCAGAGGTCGGAGACTGTGGTGGGAGTTCTGGTGATGGAGTGGTTTTATAAGCTGGGGGTGCCTGGTCGAATTCACTCAGACCAGGGCCGAAATTGAGTCCCAGCTTATGCAACAGTTGTGCAATTTGTATAGGGTTGAGAGGTCTCGCACTACGCCTTACCACCCAGCTGGTAATGGCCAGTGCGAGCGATTCAACCGTACACTGCACAACCTTTTGCATACCCTCCCAGTTTCCAGAAAAAGGGATTGGGTGTCTTGTGTGCCGCAAGTACTGTTTTGTTACAATACTACTCCCCACCAGACCACTGGTGAATCTCCCCATTTCTTGATGTTCGGGCAGGAACCCAGACTCCCAGTGGACTTCCTTCTGGGAAGGGTCCAAGATGTGGTACCTGGTACAGTACATGACTGGGTGGTAGAACATCAAACCAGGCTCCAGGTTGCGTTCGAGGGGGCTCGTGAGCGGATAAAGTGCTTTTTAGGCCATGGAATTGAAGCCATCATCGGGGTGATGACACAAAAATCAGGGGTAGATTGTGGCATAATAGGGAAGATGGGCGTGATTTCCCGAATTTAATTGTTAGGGCGGGCATTTTTGCGTCACTGATTGGTACAGTCTATAAAAGCCATTGGCTTATGTACCTGGGCAGGCATCATTTCCCGGATGGGGTTGGGCTTCCGCTGTTTCTGCTGAACGTGACTGTGGGTCAGTAAAGGTGGGTTAAGGCAGCCTTTGGGGTATTGCAGTGCTTGCTTTATTCTGGGTTTGGTGTGTTTTAGTTGATTTGCGTTAGTATCTGGTCTGTGCTCTCGTTGTTAGGAGAGCGGCTGCGTGTACAGCCTTGTTTGGCGTTTTGCCGCGGCTGCGCTGTTCGGCTGATGAATGTGATCGCATCGGTCCTCCTCCAGGTATGGGTTTGTTTTTTTTATATGCTTCTCAGTCATGGAAGGAGTGCGAATCGCAATTTATGTCAGTTCATGTTTTGTGTACGGGTGTCGGCTGTTGTATATAGGCTGTGTATTTAATCATTTGGCTTCATCCTTTTCCCGCAGAAATTATTTGGCTGGTTAATATCCCCGCAGTGGCATCACCGCTGTCTCGTTCCAGGTCGAACTTCATTGAGTCTGTGTGTGCGTTGAGTCCCGGTCGTGTTGTTGGACCTATGCCAACGGACTTTGTCTTAGTTGTGTACAGGTTTTGTGTCTGAAAGTTTGAGTCTTTATTTTGTGTTTTAGTTTTGTTTGATTTTTCCATTCCTTTTTCAAATTAGTCTATTTTCTGTGTATAAGTTATATTTATTTTTGGAGTTGGATTATATATTTTTTTGCTTTTGTTAATATTGTGAAATCTTGTATTGTTAATTTAGTTACCTTAGTTTTTTGTTGTGATTTTGATTTAAAGTGTATTATTTGAGATTTGTGTAGGTTGTGATCTGGGACGATTCGTATTAGTGTGTGTGTGTGTGTGTTTGAGTTTTTTTTCTTCAGGAGCTGCTGGCCTTTATTGATCAGGGTCGATGATCTCCTCTTTAGACGGTGGTGGTGGTGGTTCTTCATTGTGTGTTGTGGCCTTTGGCATGCACTGGGGTTTTTATTTTGGTATGTGAGTGTGTTATGTAGATTAGCAGCCCTTTCTGAAAAGTCTTTCCTGTACTTTAGGCCGCAGCTCCATGACATTTTGAATGATTAACGATCGTAAAACCAGGCTCCAGGTTGCGTTCGAGGGGGCTCGTGAGCGGATAAAGTGCTTTTTAGGCCATGGAATTGAAGCCATCATCGGGGTGATGACACAAAAATCAGGGGTAGATTGTGGCATAATAGGGAAGATGGGCGTGATTTCCCGAATTTAATTGTTAGGGCGGGCATTTTTGCGTCACTGATTGGTACAGTCTATAAAAGCCATTGGCTTATGTACCTGGGCAGGCATCATTTCCCGGATGGGGTTGGGCTTCCGCTGTTTCTGCTGAACGTGACTGTGGGTCAGTAAAGGTGGGTTAAGGCAGCCTTTGGGGTATTGCAGTGCTTGCTTTATTCTGGGTTTGGTGTGTTTTAGTTGATTTGCGTTAGTATCTGGTCTGTGCTCTCGTTGTTAGGAGAGCGGCTGCGTGTACAGCCTTGTTTGGCGTTTTGCCGCGGCTGCGCTGTTCGGCTGATGAATGTGATCGCATCGGTCCTCCTCCAGGTATGGGTTTGTTTTATTATACGCTTCTCAGTCATGGAAGAGGTGCGAATCGCAATTTGTCAGTTAATGTTTTGTGTACGGGTGTCGGCTGTTGTATATAGACTGTGTATTTAATCATTCGGCTTCATCCTTTTCCCGCAGAAATTATTTGGCTGGTTAATATCCCCGCAGTGGCATCACCGCTGTCTCGTTCCAGGTCGAACTTCATTGAGTCTGTGTGTGCGTTGAGTCCCGGTCGTGTTGTTGGACCTATGCCAACGGACTTTGTCTTAGTTGTGTACAGGTTTTGTGTCTGAAAGTTTGAGTCTTTATTTTGTGTTTTAGTTTTGTTTGATTTTTCCATTCCTTTTTCAAATTAGTCTATTTTCTGTGTATAAGCTATATTTATTTTTGGAGTTGGATTATTTTTTTGCTTTTGTTAATATTGTGAAATCTTGTATTGTTAATTTAGTTACCTTAGTTTTTTGTTGTGATTTTGATTTAAAGTGTATTATTTGAGATTTGTGTAGGTTGTGATCTGGGACGATTCGTATTAGTGTGTGTGTGTGTGTGTTTGAGTTTTTTTTCTTCAGGAGCTGCTGGCCTTTATTGATCAGGGTCGATGATCTCCTCTTTAGACGGTGGTGGTGGTTCTTCATTGTGTGTTGTGGCCTTTGGCATGCACTGGGGTTTTTATTTTGGTAGGTGAGTGTTATGTAGATTAGGAGCCCTTTCTGGAAAGTCTTTCCTGTACTTTAGGCCGCAGCTCCATGATATTTTGAATGATTAACGATCGTATAAACCTTTCTGAGTTGATGTTTCCATTTTATTGATTTTATGCTACCTTAATAAAAGATTGGTGTTTGATGCCTGTGTCTCCACGTTTTGCTTGCCACTGGGTAGGGGACTTGTGCAAAGTTTACAGAGATTCTTTGTGTGAAATTCCAAGGTGGCGTAGTCAGGCATTCTTTCATTTTATAGCATTTATTTAAAATTCGGTTTCAATTTATTTAGTGAAATCTAGCTGGGCCATCCCAGGCCCCGGCCACAATCTGGCGTAGTCGGCAGGGTTCTACTCTTTGTCTGGTAGCTTCGTGGAGACTCTGGTATTAGTATTTTGTTTACTTTTGTTTGTTTTTTTTTCTTTCTCTTTTGTTTTTGTTTTCTGTTGTAGGAATGAGACAGTGGTGTATGTTCAATTGTGTTCCCCTTTAATTTTTCTGTTACAGGTTATTTAACTTGTTTCTTATTATTTGAAGGAAGGATGGAGAATGAATTGCAGGAGTTGCGGGACTTGGTGACTCAATTAAGAGCCGATAATGAAAGGCTGCGACAGGAACAACCGTCGGTAAGTTCCCCTGGTGCTAGTAATGATAGTGCTGCTGCAGCAGTGGCTAGACCTTTATTGGCCAGTACTAGTGCCGCCCAAGTGGATAAGTTTGTTTTTGTGCCTAGGGACCGGAAATGTCCAAAATTTAGTGGAATGTCCAGTATAGGTATCGATGAATGGGTTGATGAAGCGCAGGTTTGTATGCGGGCCCGTTGCTTATCACTGGCTGACCAAGCTTTCTTTCTCTTCGATCATTTAGAAGGGGAAGCTTGTGAGGAAATTAGGCATCACATGTATCAGAATTAGGCTACCTATATGCTCGCGCATGAGCAGCTCCTTTCATCTCTGGAGACGCAGTTCTGTCTTTGCGCTTGCAGATTCCACCGTGCAAATAGCAAATCCGCCATAGCACCAGCACAACTGGCTCTTAAAAGGAATGGGAGATGAGACTCTGATTGGTTTTTTGCACGTTATGCCCAAAACACACCCATTACTCATTAAGAGAATAGGGACAACCCTTTTAGACCATGAGCCAGGCGTGCCGACCGTTTTTCCCGTCGTTAAACTAGCAAAAGTGGATTTGGACACGCCCTAAGTGCACCTGCGCCTTGCGCTTTAGACCTTGCGCTTAGATCATTAAAATAGGGCCCTATATATTTATAGAGTATTTTTGACAAGAATGCCTTTGGAGTTCTTCCTCTCTTATGAAATAGCAGAGGATAACATTTATATTGTTCACAACTATTTTGCATGATTGTATATTTTAATTGACTTAAATTAAATCATTGGCTATATTAATGCTATTTTTGTAGCCTAATGTCAAAACAAATCTCAAAACCTTTAAATGGAATTTTATGTATCAAAGTATAACAATAAATGAACAACTTAAACTAAAACAAAACAATCATTGGTGTGAAAGATTGGTGTGTATATAAATATATCCTTTAGCATTAAAAAAAAAAACATAAAAAAAATCATGCATACGTAACTAATGCGTAAAAAAATATTTTACCTGAAATTAAATGAGTTTTGTTGATGTGGATGTCTGATCGCTCTACTGGTGTATCTTTGTGTGTGTGGACTGTGAAGGACCGCTAAGGAGGAGCTTGAGTCATATGAGCTCACTTTGTACTTTTAAGGATTATGTTGATGCCCATCCTCCTAAAATTTAAAGGGCTTTACATACAGATAAAAACTACAAGGTAGCATAAATTATTGCCATTGACTGAGGACAAAAATATCTATTAAAATCATCAATAACGTCACTTCCTGTTTGTTGCTGCCCTGTGTTTTGAGTTTGAGCTCCGTCAAGTTAATTCTTTATCGTCTATTTTTTATCTTAAAATCAATTTTATACACCATTTTAATTTCTATAACGTGTGAATATATCCCCTGTCGTATTGTACAACAAAAACAATCAGAGCGCCTTATTATCACTAGTTCTATTTTGATTTCCCGAGTCCGCTATTAGCATATAGCCCGTTAGCATCGCCAGTGTGGTTGCCGCTAATCTCGCTTACATTGCTAATACTCTATTCACACGCATTACCGGTGTTTTACTCACTGTTACTTGCTTTAATGGCAGATGTGTGTCTACCTTTAAGTGCAGGTGAGGACACGTGCACCGAATGCAGCTCGAGCTGGAGGCCGTGGAGAAGCAGATCCGCGACCTGGTGGAGAGGCAGACCCAGCTGAGAGAGCGGAAAGCCGCGCTGGAATCATCCCAGCTGATGCTCACAAGTCCGAGGTAAGTATACAGCCCGCTGCTAACTCTCCCAAATTGTATCAATAGACATGTCTGTGTTCAAAACACACACACACACACACACACACACACAATAATCCTGTTATTCGGCACTCATTTATCAGTAAATATGATGGAGAAAGGCTCTAAGTTATTATGTTTCATTACATTACCAAAGCTCAGCAAATCTGAAATATCACCTGTGATGATGATTGTAACATTAATTAATGAGAGGGACACTGAAGCACTGCTGTGGTATTAGTGTTAAAAAATTGATAAAAAATATATACCTCGAATGCAATGTGAGTTGGTCTAGAAAAGAATAATAATAATAATAAAGTAGAAGTAATAATGTAATATAATAATGAATAATGAAGATGTCTTGTTTTGAACATGTTCAGACAACTACAGCAGAACGCCCTAGTTTTACACCAATCAGGTGCCAGGCAGTTTACCATTGTGGTTGCTTGAAATTTCCTTTCCATTCTGCTAGCTGTACCTTTGCTTTTGTCTGCGGTGTGGAGAGATTGCTTTATCTGACATGTGCAGACATGAGCAGACAGTAATGTGATTTTTAGATTGCCATTGCATGTGCATGCTGTAATTAACTATAGCATACAGACATAACATAACCTGCCATCCTAGCTATGGCTATCACAACACCACTACCAAATTGTTTTTTTTTTGTGAAACATTGGTCACTAGAGGCAGGTGTCCTCTTGAAGAGACCAGATGAACTGACCTTAAACATTTACCAATGTTTTATTGTCATGCACATGGAAAGCTTGTACATTAAACAGACACCTGGTTACTGATTCTGATTTCAGACATTCCAAACATGCCTAGTCCCTATGAATGGCCAATAACCAATTAAATTTAATTTGTATATCTTTGTTGAGTGACAGACCACAAAACACACCGGAGACACAAAGTGTGCCAACCAACAAGTTATCTGATATACTTTCAATTCCCAATTCTCTTTTTTCCCGCTCAGTTCCTGTAACACTTGAACAGATTTGGGGAAGAAATCGAAAAAAAAGCTTGTGTCACCAACAATATGAGTTATTAGTTCCTTTTTCCTTTGGATCTCCTCATTGTGACTCAGCATCCCTGGGAAATAACAGAGAAGATATGTTAGTACACAAGAGATTCAGACTCATTATCAGTTTTAATTTTATTTTAAGATCCACACATCATAAAAAAACGATTTTATCGGCTATACTGTGATAAATAGCAAAGGTAAAAGGCTGCCGTTTGCAATGACTGACTTATAGTTCCTTTTTACACATATAATGTGTATAATTGTTTTTAATTAGGACTAAATGAGTTACCTGTTATGTTGCATAACTACAATACAAGACTGAAGATTAAACATTGGCGAAGAACAATTAAGGAGGATCTTGTTTTAAATATAGAATGTTTCTGTTGAGGGCTGTCTTACTCTTAAATTATGAAGTGCTTTAGACTATTAGACTATTGTAGATTGTCCTAGTTTCAGAGGTTACAGTGGAGGTTCAAAGTTTACAGTGGAACATGTTCTTGTCGCTTTATATTCTGCTAGCTTTACCTTTGTGTTTGTGGCTTGTTTAATGTAAATTAAAATATATATAGGTTGTTGGGATAAAACTGGCTGCCACCCTGGTTATGGTAATTACATCATCACCACTAAATCATTTACCTGGTTTAGTGCCACATTAACCACTGTAGAGTCTGTGTTGCTGGTGGCTTTGCAGGCAAATCCTGAGATAAAGATGGAGATGATGAACTGAAGGATGGAGAACCCCAGCAATATTTCAAGGATCCCCAGATCATGTTTCTAAAAAATACATGTAAAAATATAAAAAAAAGTTAAAAAAAAAAAAAAAAGTTACAAAAATAAATTACGTCTTTAATAGATTTTTCCATACATTTCTGCCATGTACATTGACAGTCACCACTGATAAGCTACCACTAAATATTATAGAAACTTAATTTGCTGTAAAGTTGCTTTGCAATGAGTTGTATTGTGAAAAGCGCTATACAAATAAACTTGAATTGAATTGAATATATATATATATATATATATATATATATATATGAAAGCAGTTTCACAAATAATATCAGTCATATTGAGTGATTTTCTAAATACTATTACTTTACATTAAATACTATTAGATGCATTGTGTTGTGTTTTAAGATTTTTACAGAAATGTCTGTAAAATTAATGGATAATGTCCTGGCAGAAAATTACAGGAAATCTTTTTTTTTTTTTACTGTGTACTCTATAAGGAGACACTAGAAGGAACACTTGGGACATAGTGCACAAGTCACATGGACTATTTTTTTACTTTTATGATACTTTTGTGGTGCCATTCATTTTAAAGCATGAAATCTCCAGTGCCTTCTAATTGTATGGAAAGAAGCGACCAGCACAGTCTTTATTAGTTTAAAAAAAAAAAAAAAACAGTTTCAATTACTAAATGATGACACAATTGTCATTGTTGGATTAAGTTAAGATGTAACAGATCACATTAATATAGTACTGCACATTGTACATTTAGTACCTTCAATTTTAAACACATGGACTTAGAACACTCATAACTGCATCTGTGATAAGCCTCTGAAATGAGTCGTAACTCTATGCCCATCAGAAGAATGGTGAGTCCTGCAGTTATGGCACTGATCACATTCATTACAAGAGAGGCTTTCACCTACAGAAAGAAAAGCAGAAACATAAAAGGTGACATAGTAATAGTAATGGTGTACACATGTAACATGTCCTGAACTATGTAAATTGATGAGTCAGATGTCCTTTTAGTCCACATAATTTTAATCATTTCAGACTACTGTTGTAAATGAGAGTTTATCATGGAAAGTCTTGTTGTTGCTTTTTATTGTTTATGCAAATATACCAGTGTGGCTAAAAGCCTCTATGCGATTTATTATTATTATTATTATTACTATTATTATTATTATTATTACTGGTCCCTAAATATATGGCAATTAAAAGATTATTTATTTGCTCTTGAATATTGGAACAACTTTTTTTGTGAAGTATAGTCTTCATTAAAAATCATGTAAATATAAAGGCAGCATATATATAGGAAAAAGGAATATATAGGAAAGTGCTGTGGTTTTTGTTGCTACCGTATTTGTTTAGTGATGGAAACAAAATCACTATGGCCTTTTACCTTGTAGATCCATTGTGCCGTACTACATGCAGTCTTTACTCAATGAACAGATAATTAAAAAGGCTTGCTTTGTGATTTTAGTGGTTTAAGTTGCAAAACAAAGTAATGTGAATAATAGTGTATGAATACATTGCAAACAATGCAACAGAGGAGTTCTCACCCACTGATTTCAGCACATTATATGTACATACCACACACGGATGAAGTTTATTCTGCGCAGCAACAGACAGAGAGCCAATACTGATGTACTGAGAAAGAAACATCGGACATGTTAAAGTTCATTATGGAAATAAAAATCAGAAGCTAGAAAGCAAAGCCATTAAATGAAACTTACAATAAGGGATCCCCAGTAGGTGATGCCAGTAACAACAGAAATAAAAGGGTATTGGTAATTGTAGTCATCAGTGCGTACAATACCAAATAAGAAAATCATCATTCCAGTCATTATCTGGACAGACAGGACAGATATGGGTCAAATGTTTGTTTGTTTGTTTGTTTGTTTTCTAATGGCATATCATTTATGTTTAGATACACACACACACACACACACACACACACACACACACACACATATATATATATATATATATATATATAACCCATTCCCTCTCAAAACAATGTCAAAGGACTCTGTGGTATGTAAACCAGATGAGGACATAATGAGAAGCACTCCTGGGTATTCACCCAAATCAAAGACCATGTACACACACACACACACACACACACACACACACACACACACACACAAAGGCAAGCTACAGTATAGTAATGTTTTATGCACTACAGTCTTAAAGCAATCAGACCGCTCACACCTTTTCATTTTAACACAGAAGAAAATTCGATAATAAAAGTATTCTGAAATCATTCATAATTATAATTCATCATTAAACACATTACCCCCAGTGCCTTTGGTTGTGCTTTGAAAAATCCTTTAAGAGCTGTATTGTGATATGCTCCTCTGGCCTGTTGTCCATCATCACAAATAACAGTATCTTGTGCCACCTGTGGATTTACTTGGATGACAACTGTAGCTTTGTCAGTTGAGATGACCTTGCTGCTCTCCATTCTAGGCAGTTTTCACCTGTAATTGAGCATTAAGCGTTACAATTCTGCTGTTCACCACTCATTTAATGTTGTTGTTGTTTTTTCCCGTTTTTCATGTACAGTTCATCTGCATTTATATCTAAAGCATGAGCTGATGCTCTTAGCTAGAGTGACTTACAAAACTGTGATACTGCCAGGGTTTCTCAAACAAGAACATTTCAAAGAATTACATTAGCTTGCTCTGTAATAAAAAAGAAGAAAAAAAGACTGCACTTCTAAAAATGTTGTTACTGTAATATATACTTATATCATAATCATTTGATAATAATCAACATCATATTTTTGACAAGGATATGTACCAAACTGTGTGCATGTATATATGCATATATTAAAATAATTGCTGCATAAAATATTTTACCTGAAATGAAATGAGTTGTGTTGATGGATGTCTGATCACTCTACTGGTGTATCTGTGTGTGTGTGTGTGTGTGTGTGTGTGTGTGTGGACTCTGAAGAACCGCTAAGGAGGAGCTTGTGTCATATGAGCTCACTTTATACTTTTAAGGATTATGTAACATGCTTCCTCCTAAAATTTAAAGGGCTTTATATATACACTGTATAAAAACTGTCTTAAAATTGTTATCTTAATTTTTTTCTGTCAACATGCACTTTTGAGTTGAACCAAGTTATACTAGTTCATTCAACTTTCAGCTTAGTTGAGGGCCAATAAACGTAATTTTTTTGTTGTCTGTACAACTCTAAAAAAAAAAAAGTTGAAATGGCAACATCTCAAAAATATTTTTTACAGTGTAGATAAACACTACAAGGTACCATAAATTATGGCCATTGATTGAGGACAAAAATATCTCTTATTAAAATCAGACGTGTTTGTTTTCAAAACACACACACAATAATCCTGTAGCTGACCACTCATTTATCAGTAAAAATGACGGAGAAAGGCTTAAATCATTAATAAATTAAATATAAACAGGACTTTTGATTTTTGTATGGCTTATTCAATTATCAAAACTCAATCAATCTGAAATACCAACTGTGAGCGATGACTGTAACATTAATTAGAGGGACACTGGAGCCTGAGCTGGCTCTAGGCATAGGCAGGGGTAGGATGAGCCCACCCAATGTGAATTTAGGCAAAGATAGTGCTAATTTGTTATTTACAATTTGTGCTTTGATTAAAAGCAATCTGGGGCAGGCTGTGTGTCATTTTGTCCACCCCTAAAATGGGTCATCCCATTGAAATTACCTTAGCAGTTGAATTAATTATGCAAGAAAACCCCACTCATTCAAGAACATACATTTATTGCATGGACAGAGAAAGAACATAATGCTGGCTTGGCTGTGAAACTGAATGTATGAAGCAAATCTATCTAAATATCTATCTATCTATCTATCTATCTATCTATCTATCTATCTATCATCTATCTATCTATCTATCTATCTATCTATCTATCTATCTATCTATCTATCTATCTATCTGTCTGTCTATCTGTCTGTCTGTCTGTCTGTCTGTCTGTCTGTCTGTCTGTCTTTCTGTCTGTCTGTCTATCTGTCTATCTACACTACCAGTCAAAAGTTTTTGAACAGTAAGATTTAAAAAAATTTTTTTTAAAGAACTCTCTTCTGCTCACAAAGCCTGCATTTATTTGATCAAAAATACAGCAAAAGCAGTAATATTGTGAAATATTTTTACTATTTAAAATAACTGCTTTCTATTTGAATATATTTTAAAATGTAATTTATTCCTGTGATCAAAGCTAAATTTTCAGTATCATGTGATCATTCAGAAATCATCTATCTGGCAGAGCTGCAGACTTAGCACCAAACTTTAAAAATAAAAAATATAAAAATCTTATCTGAAATCTATTATTTTGATGGTGACAACTCTCTCTCTCTCTCTCTCTATCTCTCTCTCTCTCTCTCTCTCTCTCTCTCTGTGTGTGTGTGTGTGTGTGTGTGTGTGTGTGTGTGTGTGTGCCTGCTATGTCAAACATGAAATTTCCAATATGTATACAAATAAAAAAAAAACAATAGGGAACAATAATATGAGATACTATTTCTTTGGACAGTAGGATCTCCTCACTGTGACTCAGTATCTCTGGGAAGTAACAGACAAGATATGTTAGTACACAGGAGATTCAGACTCTATGAGTTTTAAAGGGGTCATATGATGCTGCTAAAAAGAACATTATTTTGTGTATTTGGTGTAATGAAATGTGTTTATGCGGTTTAAGGTTAAAAAAACAAATTATTTTCCACATACTGTACATTATTGTTTCTCCTCTATGCCCCGCCTTTCTGAAACGCGTCGATTTTTACAAAGCTCATCAATCAGAAAAAGCGAGGTGTGCTCTGATTGGCCAGCTATCCAGTGCATTGTGATTGGCCGAATTCCTCAAGCGTGTGACGGAAACGTTACGTCCCTTAACATATTGCGATGCCTGCGGCAACCACATGTGATGACCCCGGGCTGGACTCGGCTTCGTCCACGGTGAAAGCCGATCTGGCGGTGGCGGCAACAATACTACAGCGAGAATAAAAGTTACGCCTTTTCTTTGCGTGAACATTTGGGCGGGAACATTTGAAATGTTTCTTTGCATGAACATTTGGGCGGCGTTATGCAAATCTTCCCAGATAGTGACGTAGATATGTGGGGGCGTGTTAGAATGAACCGTTTTAGGTAGACGTGGCTGACTCTTAACTTTTATAAAGAATATCTCTTTGGATTTGAGACTTTAGTCTTTGCAACTTTACAGATCTTCTTTATGCACCAAGAGCTTGTATCACTCCAAAGAGAAAGGAAAAATTGAAATCGCATCATATGACCCCTTTAATTCTGCTAACAAAAATTACACACCATACGTTTTATAGGCTGTGATGTACACTATGGTAAAATGCAGTTTACCATGAAAAATTCTAGTCATTTTATATTTCCTTTACATTCTGCTAGCTTTATCAGTTGTGGCTTGTGTAGTGAAGTTGCATCGTTCTCTAAAAACATTGACTTCAACACAAATAACTATTGATTGTTGTGATAAAACCAATTGTCAAGCTTGTAATAGCAAAAACAGCATCACCACCAATAAATAATTTACCTAGTTTAGTGCACACTGACCACTGTAGAGTTTTTGTTGCAGGTGGCTTTGCAGGCAAACGCTGAGATATAGATGGAGATGATGAACTAAGGAATGGTGAACACCAGCATTATTCCGACGACCCGCAAAGTAAAATACTACAAATACTGAACAAAAATTATATTGAAGCAGGCATTTCTGAAGACTGTTTTCCATGCAATTAAAATTAATGTTTTGGAGTTGTATAGGCAAGTGTATTGTGTATAGTGTATATTGTGTTGTATAGTAGCATTGTCTTGATGTATAAAGCTTGTGTATAAATTCGTATATAGTAATTGGGTTTCTGTAGGCATCTGGAGGTGGCCTCCACCACTTTTCATTGTACATGTACAGTGACAATAAAGATCTTACATACTGAACGGTAACTAGAGCTTTCAAGCACTTCAAAGTAGACACAAACCAAACTATATTTTTAAACTATAAAATAGGTTTGTGTGAATAACAGACTGATATGCATGTTTTTATTTACAGTTCACCAAAAAATGAAAACTATCCTATGAGTTACTCGCCCCCAAGCCATCCTAGGTGTATATGACTTTCTTCTATGCAGGCATAGCGTGCGCTCTGGTGAGAATATGCTAGTCTTGCGAGAACCAAGTTTTGTTTAAAGCAAAGGAAAACCAGTCTACTCTTGGCTTATATCAAAGTTCTCCAACATTTTCCTTTACAAATTCTCATTTTGTACTTCTAATTTTGTTATAATGAGATGATTCGTGCTGAATGCAACACCAGAACAAAAACTGTGATGATTTAAGCGGTGAGTGGATTCTAACTTAAATGCCTCTGATTGGCTGTTGGGTTAAAGAAATCATCAGATATGTCTGTGATTGGCTACATTGCTTACTCAACGCTGCAAAAGATGTTGAAATAGAAACCGATCTCCAGAGCGCAAACCATAAAGCACTGGATTTGCCAAATCTGCAATAAAATGCCATTATTACAGCATTAACTGAGGGTGCTATTGATTTCGTTTGAGGGTGCTTAGCACCCCCGTAGAACTGGGCCTGCACAAACGCATCGATTCACTTCAGAAGGTCTTTATTTATCTCCCGGAGCCGTGTGGAGTACTTTTATAATGGATGGATGGATAGATGGATGGATGCACTTTACTTTGCTTCAAAACCTTGACCACCATTTACTGCCATTATAAAGCTTGGAAGAGCCAGAACATTTTTTTTATATAACTCTGATTGTATTCGTCTGAAAGAAGAAAGCCATATACACCTAGGATGGCTTGAGGGTGAGTAAATCATAGGATAATTTTCATTTTTGGGTGAACTGTCCCTTTAATAATCTGCTCCTGAGCTGTTTTTCCCTGCAATGTGTTCAGATCTTGAACTTGAGAAACAGGATCAAATTCAAGGACAAAACTGAATGGTTTTGTGAACTGAAAAAAAAGTAATATTTTCAGTGAATAATGCCTTAAATCTCAGCCTATTTATCACACAAAGCTATCCTATGGCCTGGAATACAGTGCACAGATTATATGGACTGCTTTTTTGATATACTTTTAAATGCCTTCTCCCCAGTTATTGTAAATGTCTGTTGCAGAGTGACCAATACAGTGTTCAGAATTTCTCCATTTGTGTTTTACGCAGGAAAGACGGGTTTAGAGTCATATACAGGTGAATAATTGATGACAGAATTTTCATTTTTGAGTGAACTGTCCTTTTAAGTAAATAATAGCAATTTAAAAACTAAAAACAAATTACTACACATTAAACATGAAAGCAAAATATTGCACATTCTGCATATAAATACCTCAACATATAAACCTGGATCATCCATTGATATTAATGCTAATTGTATGCCCATCAGAAGAATGGCTATCCCTGCAGTTACGGCACTGAACACATTCATTCCAAGAAAGTCTTTCACCTACAATAACAGAATGTACTAGTTTCAGACCATTGGAAGTATTTTTATACTCAAAGAACACATCATTGAAAAGGCTTGAAACTCAAGATTACTTTTAAGTAGGGGAGACCTACTCAAAAATCTACAAAAATCACGTCTGAGCAGACGGGGATTGTTATATCACGTGACGTCTTTCCCCATTTACTTCTGCTGGACCAAAAAAGGGGCTGTTATAAAAATAATTTTGAAGTAAATTTGATTTACAAAATAAATGCATGCACACAATGTATTCTTAAGTCCGTTTCTAATTCAATCATTCAATCTACATAGGAATACGTTGAAGATTTAAAAGCAAAACAACTAATTTGGAGTAGATAAATGTTGAGAAAACATAGTTTGGTATACATTAGGCAAAATATTGGAAAGCAAAAACTGTTACAACCATCCAGTTTTCTTGGTTTACCACCAGTCTAAAGCTACAATGTGATAACCAATTTTTGCTAACAGATGATGTCTGTTTTAAATGCTTTAAAAACAAATGTTTTTTTCTACAAACAGAGATATAATGTGCTGAATCGGTGAGAAATATGTACATACCACATATGGATGACGTTTATTCTGTGCATCAACAGACAGAGAGCCAGCACTGATGTACTGAGGTAGAAACAAAGGATATTTAAAAGGTAACTCATAACTTATAAATTAAAAAGAGAAGCAATAAAGCAAAACCATTAAATGAAACTTACAATAAGGGATCCCCAGTATGTTATGCCACTACAGTCAAGAATTGCAGAATAATTGTAAACATTGGTGGTAAGTACAATACCAAGTATGAAGACCATCGCTCCAATCATTATCTGGACAGTCTAGAGGGCAGATATAGGTAAGATATTTTATTCATGATGGCATAAAATGTGTGTTTGGATACAGTGATCTAGAAGAAATTAAATACCCAGTACATTCCCAAAACGGTTATATCGTTATAATTCATCATTAATTACCCCCAGTGCCTTTGATTGTGCTTTGAAAAATCCTTTAAGAACTGTATTGTGATTTTTTCCTCCGGCCTCATGTCCATCAACAAAAATAATGGTGTCTTGTGTCATCCATGGATTTACATCAATGACAACTGTAGTTTTGTCAGTTGAGATGACCTCACTGCTTTCCATTCTTTGGATATCTGTAGTAAGCAGTGTTGGGGGTAACGCATTACAAGTACCGCGAGTTACGTAATCAGATTACTTTTTCAAGTAACTAGTAAAGTAACGCATTACTTTTTAATTTACAAGAGAATATCTGAGTTACTTTTTCAAATGAGTAACGCAAGTTACTTTTTTTTCCAGTTTATTGATTGACAGCTCTCCTGTCCCCATGTTGAGAGAAATCAGAAGATGTTACTGTAGTTCTAAAATAAATATGAATATGCATTAATTTATCTCACTCACTCACAAAAAAAAAACACAGATTCAGTATTCCTCAAAATTAATAAAAATAATGCAACTCAGAATATGACGCAAACCTGCAATAATTAAATGTTAAACAACACAAATATCCTTTATGTATTTAATCCCATTCTATTAACCAATGTCTTTGCTTCTGACCTTCGATGATCCAGTTCGACCATACTAATAAGCACAAATCAGTCTTTTTTTATTGCTGAAGTGTGTTGAAATTTCTTCTTCTGCATTCTACTGTATGGACGTAAATGTACTTTCCCTTCAGCCTGAGGCTTATTCATTTCACTTTTGGTGTGAAAAGGCTTTTATATTTGCCAAAAATATAACTTTTTTATTTTAAAAACAAACAAGCAAGCCCTGT